CACCAGTGGCAGGTTTGTCCCCAGTCACCTCCTGCAGGCGGCTCTTTGCAGAGAGCTCCCAGCGCTGCTGGGTGAGCTCTGGGCTGGGCAGAACAGGGACTCCTGGAGCTCCCCGAGGGGCTCAGGGCTCAGCAGTCACGGCAGTGAGCAGGAACCAGCTCCTTCCAGCTGCCTCGAGGGAGGAGGAGGAAATGGGGTAACTGTGGCCTTGGCTGCTGCTCTGGGGTGGGACTAGCTTGGAGAAGCCACCCAGGAGGACAATTTATTGGGCAAAAAGCATAAAGTGCATTATCGTACTTAAGTGATTAAAAAAAAAAAAGCCTCCTGAACGTCAGCATCGTGCAAACATGCAGCAATCACCCTGAGGCAGATGGACACATTGTCACACTAGGCTAAATTAGCTTGTTTGGTCAGAATTGCCTTTATTCTTGCCTTTATTCTGTCAGGGGGAATGCTAACTCTTAGGAACTGCTGCAAGGTTTTGTAATCCACAACAGAGACCGAAGACCTTGGAACAACTTTCATTTTTAGTAAGGTTTTCTCAGGGGGTGGTAGTGGTGGTGTCATATTTTTAAAGTGAATTTCCAGTGAGCAGCTTCCGTTTTCCACTCAGGGCCACTATCAGCCTTTTCTCTCTAAACCACTCTTCCTGAGTAACAGAAAAAGAGAGCTGCACACAGATGATAGGAAGAAAGACAATTTCATTGCTAAAGTCTTAAGTACAGACTAAAAGCCTCTCCATTACATGATGGCAGGATCATTTAATGCTCTTCTTGTGGTTGCACATCTCTTCACAGGGGCTGCTTTGCCAACAGCTCTCATTTTAAAGGCTGGTAGAGTTTGAGAGGTGGTGGATTTAGCAGAGAAAATCCTGTTGACTAAGGGTATAGTGCTTGACTCCAAAATACATGAATAGAACTTGAACAAAGTGAGGCACAGGAGCAGAGAACTGCAGTCCACATGGATGGAACCCCAGCCAGCTCCTGTTTGTATGGGCATCCACTGCTATGGAGAAAAGCTCCTAATATCCTTCAGCTCCAGACATGACTTCATACCCTAAGGCACGCTCCATCCACGTACCTCTCAAAGCCAGCAGCATCACTCCTGCTCTCACTGACCCCAAGGAAAAGCCACTATCACCCTAAAACTTTTGTCCACAGCTCTTTTGGCCCTGATGGATGCCTGGATCACAGATTGAATCATGAGACTGAAACAAAGAGAACAGAACAGAGTATGGGAGGGTTGTGAGCTCTGGCTGTGCAGGAGAAGCAACATTTCAGGGCTGAGAAGGAGCCACCCAGACTGATGTGTTTGCATTCATCAGGTTTTGTTACCATTCCTGAGGGGCTTTGTTGAGTACACACACTTCACTTTTATTGGTGCTGGCAGGGATGGGACCCTCTGCACTTCATTTCTGAGGAATACAGAGTTTGTCCTGCTGGTTGCCCTTTGTCCACCAAAAGCAGAGATGGAAGAACTGAAACTGGTCCTGAAAAAGTCCCCATGTCAATTTTTGCTTTACAAGTGCTCTACTTGCACTCAGCAGCACTTGGTCTGTACTACTGTGCTTCAGTTTTTCTTAATATTAAGACCAGCAGTACTACAAGGAATTAATTAAGGACCAACTAATTGTGAGATAGCAATGCTGACACCCTGGGTTCCCACAAGTATCTTACTTCCTTCTGACTCTTGCAGACCTTCCTGCCCAGTAAAAAAATTCCCAGTCTTGGTACAGGAGTCTCCATAAGGATGACCAATCTGAGGGAATTCCCAAAATTCCACAGATCTTTTCTCCATTTGATCAGCGCAATGTCACAGACAACTCAGATAAAAAGGTATCTGCCAGCTATTGTCCTTTGATGAAATTATCCTTTTTTTTTTTTCATTTTTTTCTTTCTCAAGAGAGGGATCTATGAACTCTACCAGAGCTGAACTGCAGCTGAACAGGGAAGCCACAGTTTTGCTTCATCACTTGAAGCAGAGGCACAAAAAGTGTACTGTGAGATGGAGTAACATAAAAATATATCCCATTGTAGAGGGAACTGGGACCTGCAGGGAGAGGATGTCCAATTTTAGGAGCCTCCAGTGTAAGACGTGTCTGGTAAAATGGTTGGAGGCTGCGTGGGTCAAAGTATTCCAATTCCAACCTTTTCTGTTGTAGGTTTTTCACTGCAAACTGCAGTGGGGAATATGGATCACCAAACACAAAACCACAAGCACCAGAAAGCTAGAAACACATATGTGCTTGCCCACAGCACTGCTGCCTGGAAGCTGTTCTCCAACCAACAAAAACATCTCAGTGGCTGGAAAAGATGAACAGGCCTGGTTGCCAAGTCATGGCCTGAACTATTCCAGGGGCAGAAAAGACAGCTGGGCTGCTGGTAAAGAACAGGGCTATTTCAGGAGACTCACTCTGGCCTAATGGAAAATGCAAGGATAGAATTATCAATTATTTTACACTAACCCAACATTTCAGATCCAGGAAAAAAACAATCACAAGGAAGGAGAAGAGAGAAGCTGGTCAGAGTCGGCTGGCAGCTCAGTCTAGGTACAGAAAGAGCAGAATGTGCTGCCCTTTAGAAGAAAGAAAATGAACTGTTTTTCAGAAGATGGTGATTCTGGAGTGTTTCAATGCACCTGCACTGTTGTTCCAAGCACTGGCACAAAGTTGATGTGATCCCAGGGCCTTGGGTTATCACAAGGAGCCACAAATGCCATCAATGGAACTGAGATAAAGAAATTCTTTTTGGATGTATAGCTGTATGCTGATATTTTAAGTCACACTGCTGATCTGCTTTCTCTTTCAGCCCTCAGGGCAGCTGCTCCTGGTGTGCTGCACAGTGTTCCATATTAAGAATTCCTATGCAAAGCCCTGGCTGCCACCCAGGAAGCATGTTAGAGAGCAAACACACAGAGCCGGATAAACAACAGTCCCAGAGACTCTGAGAAAGGCCCAATACACAACTGCTGGGGGGACTCCGAGCTGAAATCTCCTCGAGAGGGAAAGCTCTTCAGCATGATCTTCAAATGCAGCTTTGTCTGCTGCAAACCCACTGCAACTGAATTCTCCCTGTCCTTTCACCATGGCCCTGGCCCCAGAGCGTTGACAGCCCCAGCACAGCCTGAGCTGAGCCATCAGATGCTCAGGGGTCACAGCATTTAGCAGGGTTTGTAATGAGGGAAGGAGACAGCAGAAAACTCTTTGGTTTTCTTTCACAGGAATGCTCTGTTCAGTGCCTGTTACAGAAAAGGGCAAAACTTCACTTTAGAATTCAGTCCAAAGTGTAAGTTTGAAAGAATTCTGAAATCTCTGTGCCCTGCTCCTCAGCACTTCCTCTCACAGTCACATATTTCAACAGGTAGCTCTATAAATACGTGTGGCAGCCCAAAAGCTCAATGTCATGGTGTCTGATGAAACTTTTACAAGAACATTCCTCAGGACTTCCCAAAATTAACAACTTTGAACAACTTTTGTAATTTCTATTCAGGGCAGAAGCAGACTACATCTTTTGGAGATCTCAATACGCATGCAACAAAAAATATCTTGTTTACACTGTGTGTTCCAGGCTGTACTGGAGTTTTGGTGCTTATTCACAGTACAGGATGTAGCAATTTCTGCCTTCCAGCAGCACTTGATTTTGAAGGCCAGAACATCCTTTTGTCTTGTTTGCTCTCCTGGGACAAACATAAGTGGATCAGGGAGGGAAGCATTGCAATCTACAGCACAGGGAATTCAGCAGGTATAAAGTGGAGCTGGAAATGAAGTTGGTGATCTAATGTGCTGCTGTCATAGCAGCTCAGATGTAAGAGAAAAAGTAAATCATAACTTCCTGGCTCTCTGTGTCAGTGGAGGTGCTGCAGTGTGTTTTACAGTAACCCCCAGGTCCCAAACAATGTTTTCATCTGAATGGTTTTGTTCAGCCTCACAAAATCCCAGGGAAACATTGCTGAACATCACAATCTCCCCATCCATTCCCATGGCTGCAGTTCTGAGCCTCTGGCCTGGCTGCAGATGTTAAAGAAACCTGGGCCTGGGGCTGTGGTGGGTCTGAGTCAGCCTCCACTGAGAGCATTGGGGTATTTAAGGTAACTGCACAATCCTGGAGTGACAGGTAACTGCTGGAGGACACCTCTGTCACCTCCCAGTCCCTCCACCCTGTCACAGTGGCTTGATGGCCAGGGCAGGACCAGGTACTCACTCACACTTGGCATTTGTAGATGGCAAAAATGTTTGCACCAATGGGATTTTATTGCGTCCATCTCTAGGGGTGATGTATTAAACAGAAAAAAATCCAACTTTTCTGATGTAAAGATATGTTACAGTTACCAATGACAGAGAGCTGCAGTTGCTGGCAGTCCCAGACAGCTGCTATTTAAGAGTATCTATAATTATGAAGCACAGGTCCCAAAAACCCACCTGGAAATCCTAGGGAGAAAAAAGTTATCTTAAATGCTAAAATTAGATGTGACTAATCCCAGTTCTGTGGGCACAGGAACTAGCTGATTCCTGCCCAGGTTGGACAAACAGCTCCTGAGATGACTGAACACCAGGTAATATCACTGTTCAGCTGGGGAAGGATTTGCTTTGGCACTTTGGTCCCACTGAGGCCTCCACAGGGAGAACTGCTGAGCAGAATTTTGCTGCTGTCCTGGTTCTGGGAACCTTCTGAAAGGACACTTGTTTTGTTGGCTGGGCAGCTGCACACAAAACTCTGGAGGGATATACTGGTGAGCCCCACAAGTGTCTGACCTGTCTCACCTTCTATTCTGAGAGTATTAGCACAATTCACTTAGGGTATGAGGGGACTGGATCAAATCCAGGAGAGGAGATTAGTTAGGGCTAAGGAAGTGGCTGTCAAGCAGAGAAAGGTCAAAAGCCATCACACACATGGCACACAGCACCAGAATATCCAGTTTTGTGTAGGTCAGCCCAGGTGTGTCACCTGCCCCAGGATGTAACCAGCCCTGGAGGCTGCTGCCCTCCCAGCACTGTCACTTACCCATGAAGAAAAGTTCTGGGGACTTCTTGTCTGTAGCAAACTCAGCCATGGGCCCACCAAAGCGCAGCCACAGCCCGAAGGCAATGACAGCCAGTCCTGCCAGCTGCAACACAAACACAGCAGTCAGGGCTGCAGTGACAAAGGCTGCAGAGCATCACAGCAGTGTCCTGGCACCTTGTGCTTTCTTGAAATCCCACAGCTCAGAACTGCACTGTCAGAAAATTGATGCAGCACTTGCCAGGCTCTGAAACAACAAATTCCTGTTACAGTGCAATGTAGTTCTTTCTTTCAGCTCCTCAGTGCAGTGGTGCTTCTGAACTTACTAGAGACTCTCAAACCTTGTCAGTCATTTAATCATCAAAACTGGGCCTGAATTGTCATGAGAAACAGAGTGGGGCAGGGGACCTGCACCAAAACGAGGAGGTACAAGGATTGTTACTGGGTAGATATCTTAGATCACAGAAATTACAAACCAGTGATAGATGCTGTCAAGTGCAAGGAAGAATTCCCTTTAATGTGAACAAGACCAGGTCACAAAGGAGTGTCACAGCATGTTGTTTGAGGGAAAAGATCTACAGTCAGAGGTTTCAGCCTCACCATGTGCCAGACAGATCATCAGCCTGCCAGGCAGTGCTGTGTGACCTGGCAGAGAACTCCAGCACCCCTCAGGAGCAGAGCTGTGTGTCCTGCAGGCAGCTCTAACATCCCTCAGGAGCAGAGCAGTGTGTCCTGCAGGCAGCTCTAACATCCCTCAGGGCAGAGCTCTGTGTCCTGCAGGCAATTCCAGCATCCTTCAGGAGCAGAGCTCTGTGTCCTGCAGGCAGCTCTAACATCCCTCAGGGCAGAGCTGTGTGTCCTGCAGGCAGCTCTAACATCCCTCAGGAGCAGAGCTGTGTGTCCTGCAGGCAGCTCTAACATCCCTCAGGAGCAGAGCTGTGTGTCCTGCAGGCAGCTCTAACATCCCTCAGGAGCAGAGCAGTGTGTCCTGCAGGCAGCTCTAACATCCCTCAGGAGCAGAGCTCTCTGTCCTGCAGGCAATTCCAGCATCCCTCAGGAGCAGAGCTGTGTGTCCTGCAGGCACCTCCAGCACCCCCAGGACCAGGCACAGTGTCCTGCTGCTGTCCAGGCCCAGATTCTCATCCTGTGGCACCTGCACATCCTGGACAAGGCTGACTAACACCTGCTGCTTCCCATGTGGGTGCCAGCCTGGCACAGTCCTCCCCTAACCTGTCCTGCATTCCCTGGCACTCGATCCATTGGCACAGCTCCACAAGCCAAGAGGGCAGGCAGTTGTACAGCTGCAGAGCTCGGGATCACAGCTTTCCTCACAGATGTGTCCTAGCAGAGGGTGAGGGTCCCCTGCCACCCTGTCACAGCATGGGGACCTCCCTGCTGCCAGCCTTGGGCTGCCAGGGCCTCTCCAGGCTGTGGAGTGTCCCTGGCAGCTCGGGGTGAACGTCCCAGCCAGCTGAGGAGATGGTTCCTTCCATCTCAGCGAAAAGGCAGATAACAAAACACAGTACTTGTCACTTTTGAGAAACAAATAACACAAAGCTTTGTCCTTCTGCTGCCCTGCAGCTGCAGCTGGGCAGCAATCACACTGCCCCTCCAGCTCGAGCACAGCAGCACTGTGTCCCCGGAGCACGCAGCGCTGTCACCACGAGGGAACAGCCTTTGGTTTAACTGTGCTTCAAGCATAAAGGAGACAAAAGCCCAAAACTGCTTGGTCCAGAGAGGCTGAACAGGATGACTTTGTGGCTTCTTTTAAAAAGACCCCAGTGAATCAGAAGGAAAGAAAAAGACATTTAAGAAGATAACATTGCTGATTGTTTTCTGGAAAGCTGAAGGGAGAACAGTGCACGAGGGAAAGTGACAGAAGAGAAAGCGTGAATTCAGCTGATGGAACTGTGAGACTATTGAAAAGGTGCAATGAGGAGAGAATGGACACAGCATTCCCTAAATCTCTTGGGGTGATGCGAGGACTTTGTCTTAGGATGATCGTGTAGCAGCTGTTTTCTCCCTTATTGAAATGACATTAGTAAAAAAGCACCGTGATGCTGTTAAATGTTCTGCTCACTGCACTGTACTGGGGGAACCTCTCCCAGCCTCCTCCTGCAGCCGCGTGGTTGCCGGGGCAATGATCGCTGCTTTAAACGATCAGTTCAGACAGATGCTGTCTCTGCTCAGCAATGCCATCTCACCCCGAGCCGGTGCTTCATTTCCCCGGCAGAGCCGCATCTCCCTGGGAGCGAGCAGAAGCCGGGAGCGCAGCCTCAGCTCGGGGAGCCGATCCCGCAGGGCTGCCCGGAGGGAGCCGCGCCCGTTCCACCCCCGGCACCCCCGGTACCCCGGCACCTGCAGCAGGTGCCCGGCCCCGCCCAGCGCTCACCCAGAAGGTCAGGTTGAAGATGAAGAGCAGGATCTTGACGCAGCGCATCCCTCCATAGCCCACGCCCATGGCGGGCGCTCCGGCAGCAGCTCAGCCGCGGCTCGGCCCGACTCCGGCGGGGCGGCCCCGGGGGCAGGTGCGGCGCCGGGCGGATCCGCCGACCTGGGCCCGCCCCGGGGCGGACTTTGTGCCCGGCGCCGTGCCCGGGGCTTCCCGCGGCCGCAGCTGCCCGGGCGGGGCCGGGCACCCCCGCGCTCGGTGCAATCCCTCTGTGCGTCTCCCGAAGACGCTCGGATCCTGCAGATGCTGCCCGCAAAATTACAGGCAGGAGCAAGAATGTGGTGTCGTTAAACTTGTCTTGGTTCATAGCCATAGCTAAGGGCCCCTCAAGTTCATTTTCCAATCATTTATTTGTTCTCTAATTTGACCCAAAATGCTGACTCTGCTGTCAAAATCTTAAAGCTTTCTCATCTTATTTTTTTTCCAGCTGCTCCTTTGAGGTCTCCAGGAACTCTGAGTCCAAAGTTGCCTGTGGGGCTTTGAGACAGGGGAGCACGAGCTAAGGTTGTGTCTCTGGAAAGGGGGTTTCTACGTTAAACATTTCCTCTCCTTATTTAACGAATAAAACATTTATTTCCTTTTTTTCCCTTTTTTTTTTTTTTTTAGTTTGTGCTCTAGTCATAACTGTAGACTTCTACCTATTCAGATTATTTTCAGGTTTTGAATAAATTTTCCCTGAGGTGTGTGCGGAAACCGTGCAAAAATGCGTGGGAAAAGATGTTTGGTGTTGTTATTTCAAATTACACTCCTCTAATGACACAATAATACCAAAGGACGTTGGAGGTGGTTTCCTTTTTCACTCATTTTCCTCTTCGTTTTCAGTTGTGTTAAAGCCTGGCCATATTTTGGAAAAATAATCCCTAAGAGTTTATTTGAATTGCAATGACAGACTTTAATTAAGAATATCTTATTCCATTTGCAATGAATTGCAATGCAATACAGTTTATTGGTTTAGTTGTTTGGGTTTTTTAAAACAAACATTGAATCTACCTTATAACTCAGAGTAAAACCCCACAATTTCCCTTTTTTTTGCTTCCATGATGCTCTGCTGGATGGTGTTGACCTACCAGGTCCAATGCATTCCTTCTAAACTAACAAAAGCATGAATGCATTTGAATAATCAAAATAACTTCAAGACAATGAGATGCATCAAACAGTAGTAAAAGTCTTCATTATCCTGTGATACATTTGAAGCAGATGAAAAACAAGAGAGTGGTTTTACCTTGGATGGCAACAAAAATAAGGCTTCTCTACTTCTCCAGTAATTTTCATCCTATTTTTCTCTAAAAGTGCAGGAATGAAGCATTCAGCCTTTATAAGTAGTAGGGCTCCTTCCCACATAATTCTTGCAATGAATTAATCCCAAGGTGCTGCTTTTCAGCATGTGGTTCTTGGCATCTCCTGGAGGCAGCTCACAGCTTCCTTTGGCACTGCCCAGGGGTCACACAGGTTGGGGTGCCCGGGGATGTTCAGGCAGGTTTGGGTGCCAGGGGCACAGGGTTGGCAAGAAGTCACTGATGGGGCTCTGCTGGGCTCTGTTTTAGGGCCAGTGTCTTCATAAATGACTCAAATCAGGACTCAAAGGGATACTGAGAAATTCTGCTGACAACACGAAACTGGGAAGAGCTGTTGACTCCCTCGGAGGCAGAGGGATCTTGATAAATGTGAGGGCTGGACAATCACCAACCATGTGTAATTTAACAAGGGCAAGTGCTGAATTCTGCACCTGAAGAGTTGCAGGATTGGGTAACCCTGGATGTACGGGCAGAGTGGGGAGTGAGGCTGTGGAAAGCAGTGCCGTGGAAAGGAATCTGGGGGTTGTTGTGATGGCCAGCTGGATCTGAGTCAGTGTGCCCTGAGCCAAGAGGTACATCCTTGTCCTGGGGCCACCAGGGGTTTTGGTGATGGCCAGCTGGATCTGAGTCAGTGTGCCCTGACCAGAAGGGACATCCCTGTCCTTGGGGCACCAGACACGAATCCAGACCAGGTGAGGGAAGGATTGCCCTGCTCTGCTCTGGGATGGGGCACCCTGTCCTGGGGGCACCTGGGGTCCTGGCAATGGCAGGCTGGATCTGAGTGAGTGTGCCCTGACCAGGAGGGACATCCCTGTCCTTGGGGCACCAGGCATGGCATCCAGGCTGGCTGAGGGAAGGATTGCCCCGCTCTGCTCTGGGATGAGGCAGCCTCGTCTCCAGTGCTGGGGTCAGTTTTGGGTGTCACAACATGAGAAGGATATAAAGTTGTTGGAGCTGTCCAAAGGAGGGACACGAGGGTGGCGAACGGTCCTGAAGGGCCACACGAAGAGCAGCTGAGGGCACTTGGTTTGTTCAGCATGAACGAGCCTGAGGTCAGAGCTCATTTGGGGGCTGCAGCTCCTCCCGAGGGACAGCTCCGACCTCTGCGACAGGGACAGGACGCAGGGAAGGTCTGGGGCTGTGCCACGGCAGGTCAGGATGGAGATCAGGGAAAGGTTCTTCCCCCAGAGGGTGCTGGCACTGCCCAGGCTCCCCAGGGAATGGGCACGGCCCCAAGGCTGCCAGAGCTCCAGGAGAGTCCGCGCAACGCTCCGAGGCATGCCCAGGGTGGGATCTGGGGCTGTCCGTGCCGGGCAGGGGTTGATGATCCCGGCGGGTCCCAGGCCGTTCCTCAGCTCCGTGCCGGTTCCGCGGGTCCCGCTCGGGCCCTCACGGCCGGGCCGTGCCGCGGGCGGCAGCGCCCCCTGGCGGTCCGGCCGGGCCCGGCGCGTCCCTCAGGGCCGCGCTCAGCGCTCATTAGAGCGGCGGCGCTAATTGCGGGGCTCCCTCATCAGGGCATCTCTGCGGAGAAGCACCAAGGCCGTCAGCGGTCTCATTTCGCAGCCTATTTGTTACAAATCAATACCGTAAGGGAAAAATTCAATTTTTTTACAATTTTTCTCAGTAGGATCAACAGATTGTGAAGGAGGCATTTGCTTGTTAGACAATTCACAAAGTTTTTCCATCAGCTGCTGTAGTTAGTGCTGTTTCCTGGACAGGACTAACATTTCCATCTGGAACATGTCCAGCTTCAAAATCCATGGATTTTATTGCTTTTTATATTATAGACCTTTCTGTTATCAAAGTGCCCTTTCCCCCTGAGGTTCTTAGATTAAACAAGCATGTGGATATTTGTAACAGGCCTCAAGTCTGGCAATTTCTTTGCAGCTAGATTTAAATTATGCAGATCCTGGGGCAAAGACTATTTGGTTTTGGCTATTTTCTGATTGCAGACCATGCTAGGAAACTTTTCAGCCAAGTGTTATCCAACTGTAGTACTAGGTGTTCAGATACTGCTGAACACAAGGAATTACTTGTACTTGTAGTGACAGATGGATAAGAAACTGTTCTTGCCAGAGCAAGTGCTGTTTAATTTCAATTACTAAAAGAAAACTTGAGTTATTATTCCCATAAATATCATCCTGACTTGAGAATTAAAATATTTAAAAATGTATTTGTGTAAAGGGAGGGGGTGAATGTTACCATTTCCCTTCCAAATCTGCCCTACCCTTCCTCTGTGTTCCAGTCTTCCAAATGGTTCTCTGGTAACGATTAACCTTTCAGATATCAGGAGAGCACAATATTCTTTTTCCTTTCCAGTGTTTGACTGTTTCCTAAGTGGTTTACAATTCCAGTTTTATGCTTTATGAACAGCAAAACTCCCGTGAGTGTTTCTTAGCTCTGCAGAGGATTGTTCAGATTTCACAGAATTAAAGAATAAAATTATAGAATGGTTTGGGTTGGAAGGACCTTAAAGCTCATTCAGTATCACCCTCTGCCATGGGCAGGGACAACTTCCACTATCCCAGGTTGCTCCAAGACCCATCCAGCCTGGCCTTGGACACTGCCAGGGATGCAGGCACAGCCACAGCTTCTCTGGGCACCTGTGCCAGGGCCCCACCACCCTCACTGGGAAGGATTTATTCCCAATATCCCATCTAACCCTGACCTCTGGCAGTTTAAAGCCATTCCCCCTTGTCTTATGTGCTTCCTGTTTCTCAGCTCCCTCTATGCACGATAAACTCAAATTGCTTTTTCAGGGTCCAAAACAGCCCTTCAGAGCAACATCAGCCAGGGAGTGAGAGGAGCTTCCTTAATAAAAATAATCTTATTCCCTGACTTAAATATTTCACTTACGTGGAGCTACAACTGATTTTAAATTCCGAGCAAACACCCCCAAACCCATACTGGACTCCCATTCTTCCAGGGACAATGAAACTTGCATCACACCTTTGGCATCCGTGGTGCTCTTTCCATTTCCACTGAGTAATTGCCGGAATTCTGGGCCTGGCAACTCTGTCTCTGTCTCTGAATGCAGCTCAGGAATTGCTCCCTGGAATACAAAGGAGGTCAGAAGGGAGACTATTTCTCCAAGTGTCTGGGCAAATCGTCTGCTCCTTTGTTTCTTTCCATGCTTTTAAATTTTTTTTCAGTATATTTACTTGCTTTGCATCAGGCACTTGCATGCTGGGTCAGTCTGCAAAGCTCACAAGGAGCTGCTGGGAACTGCTTGGATGCCCTGGCAAATGCACTGGCCTTGTTTTCTTTTTTCAGGAGTGTTCAGAATATGCTGTGCTTCAAATCCTGGCCTGTCTCTGAAAGCTGCTTCTCAGAAAATGCATTGCAAAGGTGTAAAATCCCAGAATCCTGTCATTTCTACAGCAAGCATGATCTGGATATTATTTCTAGCATCACCCCTTAAAGGCCAAAGTGGGAAGAAAGGTAGAACACAAAGTTTTCTTTTCTGTTATATTCCAACAAGCCTTTCCCAGTCCCAGCTTGGTGTCTTGAGTCCCCTCCCAGCTCTCCACTAAACAACTGAGAGGGGTTCATCCAATTCCCAGTTGTATTCTCTCTCTGCAGATTCCTGCTGCTCTTGGGCCTGGTTTCTCTCTACTCAGGTAGATGTGAGCTGCACAATCCCACTTGGATTCAGCAACTCTTGCTGCTGAGTGCCTCTGCAAGGTGCAGAGGTGCCTGACACTCAGATGATCACTGTGTGTGTGATTTTGGTGGGCAGGAGCACAGGATGGTTTGCAGG